ACTGTGATGCGTCAAGAAAGAGTATCAAAGAGCTCACAATATCCTTAGCCCCACGGTGGGCGCCAAACTGTTTACCCTGGAATCCGGATAACAATTGAATTTATATGGGGTTTTAAGGATCCGTGAACTAAAAGATACAAAAGGTTTGGATTGAGGAAAATAGAAGATAAAGACTCAACAATTGCTGCTAAAGTAAATAATCGCAGAATATAATATTGCTTAGAACAATTGTGCTTGATAGCGTACAAGAATTGAGAGAGATGGTACCGTAGTGTAATGGTTTCCCCTCCCCTCTTTATGGGGTCTTCTCCCCTTTTATACATTCTGATTAGGGGTAAAAATAAGGTAGGTAAATTAATTACATCGTGGATCCCTGTAATTACGCCTTAATGGCCTGAAGTGGTTGAGAAAATCACGTTTGGGCGAGATATCCGGCGACGCTTGGTTATTCGTTACGAGTCCGGCTTCCGACCTTGTGTGTTTCTCCATCCGGTGGTGACTCATATCGAGCTCTGCAACGGTCTCGAAATGACTCGACCTCGGTTGTTGACGTGGCCGTCGTTCTACCTTGCATCCAGGTCGGGTTCGATGGCCCCGACTTGTCCCGGACCGGACCCAACCCGGTCGGGCTCAAGCAAAAAGGGTATCACCCAATACACTACTATTTATACATGTAAAAAGAAAAAAACCTAGGCATTTGATTCCTATTCAAATTGGGTCTCTTCGGTTTCCATAGCAAGACATGGAAGTCATATGTAGCTTCCATAATTACCATCCTAATCCATAATTTGTTTCGTTTTGTGTCATTTTTTTTTCATAGTTAGTTTCTTATACTTATTATTAATATTATTATAATGGCCAATACACCCTTGTTTTTTTACAAATGTAGGGTATTACAAGATACCATATTCCGATGCATTACATTCTTCTTTTTAGAGAAATTTTATGTCACTTTTATTATAAATATTGATTAATCAATGATCAACTGATCACAGCTTCATGGCAATTTCCTTTGGCAGCAAATAATATTACTACTACATTCATAAATTTTATTGTAGCATTAACGGAGGTCGAGTAGCAAAGTTTCCGCCAACTACGATGTCTACATTTAAAAATCAAGACGTATACGTTAAATGTCTACTTCCAGTTAAAATTAAGAAAAGAGGTATGACTACTTCCGGTTACAAATATAACTATATAAGTTAAAGAGTTCAACCAAATTAGAATGACTAACTACAAAAGTCTATACAGTCATGTTAGCATGTTACTACTTACTATGATAATAATTGAAAAGTTTTAAATTAGCCTCCAAACATTTGCATTCAGGCTCCGCGCACAATCTATTGATTGTAAAATCACAGGGCGACATCTTGCCCCACGTCCCCCCCGACCCCCCACCCCCTTATTTCCGCAAATGCTGAAACCCGTCCCGCTTCGCCCCGTACCTGCACCTCCCCCATTGCCATCCTAGGTACTGCTATTTCCTATATTATTTAAGATAAAGAATTCATCTAATTTTACTTCTGATATTGCTGCTTCCTTTCTAGCAAATTACTGTCACCCTTCTATGATAATCCAGCCGAGTCTAGGTATTAGTTTGGAGTCCTTCAAATTGTAGGTTAGATCAATTTCATTATTTATGATTTTGTGATATTTGCCAACTTTACTTCTTCATGAGCTATAGTCAGACTCAGAGCAGGTCATATTATTGTGCCAACGGAACTTTGCAAAAGTGACCCTAGAGTAGAAGAAAATGCTAATATCGTACATCCATAAAGATATGAGAGGACAAGTAAAACATCGATTCGTGCTCTATACTGAATACTAAAAATATCCAATTAATTTATTTTGACATAGATGATAGAACCATTCTAATCATCTTGGTCAGTATATAAACTGGAATTTTTCTACCATTTGAACATTACCAATTTGCACATAGAAATGACCGTTATTTGAGAAATTCCAAGTAGCATTATAACACAAGGATGCATAATTTCATAGGTAGTCTTTCTTGTTTTCAAGAGAATTACTACCATCTCCATAACCCACAACCACTTGGTTTCCTGTTCTTCGGAAGAATCAACTTATGCCTCCCTTCTTCATCAGACGGACAGAGACTTTTCCGTCTCTCGAGCCTTTGAAATCCTTGGAGAAACTTCCTTCTCTTAACTACACCGTGAAGATAAGGTATTAAACCTGTGTATGAATCCATCCCAACTCCCCGCATCGCAAAACACTTCCTTTGAACAAATCGCTTGAATGCCATGATAGATATTGAATTTACAGATTGATTCTTATAGAGAACTAACAACAAATGGTCATTTATAGGAAAGTACTAAGAGAACAAAATAGACAAGCCTGCACGTCCTGTGTTGCCAACCTCTGAGTTTCCGATAAAGAATATAGCAAGGAATATGTGTAGGCGTGCATAAAATATGTCAAAGTTCATCCATTTTACAAAACAAGAATTTGGATCAGATTCCATCTTACAATTATTTTGTCAGTTGTTGTGACAACATTATAAACATAAATTCCCCTTCATTTTTTTTTCTTCCTGAACTCACACCAACTGGATAAGATAATCCAAGTATTCCACCCTCAAAAGATTCTACCTTAAGTCTAGTACATCAATTATAGATATAGATAAACAAAGAAATTTTCGATCACAAATGTGTCTAACCATTCCATCAATATGTAAAGATTAGCGAACAACTTGTCATATCTGCAGCAATAAGCTAAACTTTCGGGTAGCAACAGGAACTAAGAAAACCGTCCAATATGTAAAATAATATGTACATAGAAAGAATCTGTGTTGCTAGCAAGAGGGGCGCACAGTCCTAACAAGCAAAATACGAGGGATCACATAGTGAAGAAGTTAACCTGAAACTTGGATACTTTGGTGCTATTATCATTTCAAGTGATGAATTACAAGGATCTCTGAGGACCTTGGGAACAGAATATAAGATCTACACAGAACTACATATGTACAATCAAAATCTTCGCGAGTCTTTCATCAATGGAGTACAGTCACAAAATTTGTTGCCCCACCCATGAGATACAATTCACTCACTCATTTGACAATGATATTTCTAATAGGCTGGCAATTGTATAGCCAAACAATTTCCATTACACCAGCTCCCTAGGGGTCTCTACTGTCCAACTTTCTCAACTGGTTTAGGACATTAGTTTGTGAGCATCCAATTGAAACCTGTTATAACCTTCAAACACCTTCAACCTGGATGACCGCATAGAAATTGCACAAGATCTGGACTACTTTTTTCTGTAGCCTGGCTGAGTAACCTTTCCCTTTGATTTTTCCTTTACCACATGACACTCTGGAGAATCAAAATTGGTTTGATAGACAAAACCCAAACAGCTTTAGGGACATCAAATGACCTTGATTACACAAAAAGGTAGTTCAGCTAGAGAAACAACCTCATGGGACATTGTATGAAATCCTACATCAAAGCTTACCGTTGACTAAGGTAATGTTTAAGTAGCATTGTTAGTATGATTAGCATCAATAGACCTAGACCTCAGTCTGAATCTTTTCTTCACGAGCATGCTGCGCAGAAACATCATCAGAAGAATGAATAGTTCCACTGCAACTGCCCAACACAGTTACTTCTTGACTTTCGGCCTGACTGCCCACTGCAGTTTCTTCAGCAGCATGCCCAGTTTCTTCAGCAGCACGTTGTGCAGAAGAAACATAAGCAGAAGAATAAACAGTTGCGCTGCAACTGCTCACTACAGTTACTTCATGACTTTCCGCCTGACTGGGCTCAGAGTGAACAATCTTCTCATTAAAAGAAGCTTTTGCTTCAGCACTGGCATCGGAAGAGTTCAAGCTGGAGCCACATGCTTGAGATCCAGGAGAGAGATCAAGTTGACAGTCGGTGTTATTTACAAGAGCAGCATTCAAAGAAATTTCAACCGAGGAGTCAATTGCAGGTCTAGAAGAAGAAACCTCAGCACCATTATTAACTCCACCAATTGGAGAGGCATCCAAATTTCCCCCCTCCACAGAAACATTTGAGCCACCAAACCATTCAACATCAGAAGTTTGCTTTAAAGAAGCTTCAACCGAGGAGTCAATTGCAGGTGTAGAAGAAGAAACTTCAGTACCATTATTAACATCAACTCCATCACACATTTGAGAGGCATCCAAATTTCCCTCCTCCACAGAAAAATTTGAGTTACCAAGACGTTTAACATCAAAAGTTTGCTTTAAAGAAGTTTCACCTGAGGAGTCAATTGCAGGTTTAGAAGAAGAAACTTCAGCACCATGATTATCACCAATTGGAGAGGCATCCAAATTTCCCTCCTCCACAGAAATATTTAAGTCACCAAGATGTTTAACATCAGAAGTTTGCTTTAAAGCCGCAACATGTAGCCCATTCTGCGGATCAGGTCCACTTGTAGTGTCTGAGAAGAAATTTATGGCAGGCTTTGCACTCGCACAAGTTGCAGATACACACACTGAAACTTTTGTCTTGTCTATTTCTTCTACTTCACTTTGTGCAGCAGGTTCTAGGAAACAACTATCTGTGGTATCTGCCGATAAACTTTTCCCATTGGCATCAATGGAGGTAGTATCTGAAACCACCACATTCTGTTTCTCTGCCTTCGTGTTTCTGGCAGAAGCTTCATCTGATGAATCAAAACCAAATATCGAACAAGTGGTTTGGTCATTTTCTGTGCAAATTTTTTGATGGATTGGCTCAGATGACTGGGCATCAACTTCAGAGGAAGGACCCAATGCAGCATCTCCCAGATCAGTGTTTCCAATACTTGCACCGGAAGGAGAGGAGGGAATCGATTTTGTGGTTGGTTCAGCGAGCTTCTTCTCCATATTAGATTTGACAGATTTATCCTCCTGNGGTAAATACTGTGTCATAGTAAATCTTTTATATTTTGGGAGATTTCAGAAAAGGATCATGTAATCTGTATCACTGTGTGGACCCCTTCATAAAAGGAGTCAAGTATAACAGTAGGTCCCTACTCGAGGAAAAACTGTAACTGTATGCTAGTTCTACCTTCCCACTAGCGAGGGCTATAACTGTAATCGGTAATCGGTAATCTGTAAATACAAGGTGCACCAGGTCTAACGAACCCGCCGTTAGCTACGGGATCCTTCAAAGTCTCCTCCCATTTATACTCTTTCTTGTAAATAGTAAATACTCGTACAAAAGCATTTTCAAAATAATAAAGGGCATATCATTCCTTATCAAATCTTGTAATTTTATTTCAGTAACAGTGATCATGTCTCAAGTAACGGTAAAACATATCTAGTAACAGTGAGAATACTTCAAATAACTGTAACATCTCAAGTAACGATAAAACATATCGAGTAAAAGTGAAAATATTTTGATTAATCGGTAAACATCTCAAGTAAACTATTTCGTATCATATCAAGTAAAGGACTTGTCCCGCATGCAATTTTCAAAGCATCGGTAATACATTTATTTTCAAAATCATATATAAACCATGCAGGTTATGAAAACACAAATTGTGGTAAGATTACTACTCACAGTACTCGTGCCGAAATGCCAAATGCTTCACCTCGAGCAATTCGTACAAATTCCTCCAATCAATCGGAAGTAAAATTTCAAGTGTTGGCTTCAAAATAACGAAATGCTTTTGAAACCTAAAACCATTCTCCAAAATTATTTGCTGCGAGAGGAAGACTATGCGGTATGCCGATACCAAGCTACTTGTTTACCCTGGAATCCGGATAACAATTGAATTTATATGGGGTTTTAAGGATCCGTGAACTAAAAGATACAAAAGGTTTGGATTGAGGAAAATA